AATAAGTTCAGTTGTGAAGGAGAAATGGACTTTCTCATTATATGTTGTAATGTTTTTGAGGCAAGCTGAAGTCCCTCTCAAGTGCTAATTCTGATGAATTTAGATATTCACACTATATTTTAAATTTTTCTAAGTAGATTAAAATAATTGTAAATCAAAACTTTAGTGATATTAACATTGTATAGATATAAAACATAGTGGTGATGATCATAGGCCTGAAGCAGTATTATTTACAGTGTCTTACTTATAGGGACATTAGCAGGTCTGAGGATTAAATATATATGAAAAGTACTTATAACTCAGGTTGACACATACAAATGAATCAAGAAATACTAATATGCTTAATATAGTACACAAAAGCCCTAGAAAAAGCCCTTTGATCCACCCTAAAATCAATACTACATCAAACATCTCACTAAGTGACCTAACCAACCTCACAGTGTGACTTAACACCTTCCCAGTAACTCAAACTCAGCTGGGTGTATCTTTCTGAAATCAAGCTCAACTTCTGAGAAACAATTATCTGTTTCTCTATATATAGAAAATCAAGAATAATTTTTGAATTACAGTGCTCTGGGACACTTTAATAAAATATGTACAATAATACACAAGTGCAGAAAATTCACAATGGTGGATGCATTATTCCTAGTTGAAAAAATCTAAAGGATTTGATGTACATGAATGATATGATATTCAGGAAATAGAATCACACATACAGCTGATTCACTTCATTCTAGAGCAGAAACTAACACAACATTCCAAAGCAATTATATTCCAGTTGAAAAAAAATACATGTTGGCTGTTATATATGTCTCTAGTTTGTGTATTTGATATGAGAGAAGGTAAAATAAAACTATATAGGTCAATTCATAGTCCTTAATTATAGCTAGACTTCAAATTCATTTCCATATAGTGAAACTTTTATTATCCCTGTGCAGCTGTCACTGTCTTAAGGAATTTGAAATAATCAATTATCATTATTATAACTGATTATCATTAATTGTATACCATTATCACAAAATCATACACGTGCATCTGCATCCTCTTATAATCTCATTTTATACATGAAGAATGAAAGGTCAAATAACATATCTGAGGTCACTAAACAACGGTGAAGGCTGGAAAGAAAACCACTTGCTCTCTGGGACTTCCCTGATGGTCTGGTGGTCAACAATCCTTGCTTCCAATGCAGAGGGTTCAGGTTGGAGCCCTGGTCAGGGAACTAATAACCCACATGCAGCATGGCATAGATATTAAAAGACATTATTCTACAGCCACATCTATTAAATTCTGAACTGGGATATTGACATGGCAATTTTTGAGTTGTTGAGATGGGGAATTTGGTGCTGATAAAAACTATTATGAAATTGATTGATATTTTTGTTCTTAAGAAAACAGACATTTAATTGGGGCATTTGAAGGTCAATAGAATGATTATGTTACCTAAAGGAGGACACAGGCAAACAAGGGATATTTTCCCTGAAGACCGTACAGATAAATTATAATTTGTCACACTTTATAGCAGAGAGATGTCTGATGACTATTTAACCTTCTTAGTTCATTGGTAACGTATGAACCTGACATTAAGAGATGAATCACTCTGAATATTTTTGTGTGCAATTCTTTCATTCATGTAAATAAATTTCTGGTGATATTTTGAGGGAAAAAATAAAATTTATAGCTTGTATTTCTGAAAAAAAGTTGGATTTATTTGATATCAAAAAATTCATTGAAAGGCTTGGTGATGCAAAACAGTGTTTTACTTAGGTAAGTAGTTACCTTTCCCAATATCATCAGCCTTGTTTTGCAAAATAGCTAAAAATAAAATTAAGGAATAATTTATTCAAAATTTTAATTTAATATAAACAATAAGTGAAATTGAATAATACTTTTTAGTACTAGATTTGTGCACTTACTATGTGTAAGTTTTGGGGCTTCCCGATAGCTCAGTGAGTTAAGAATCTGCTTGTAATTCAGAAGACACAGGAGATGCAAGTTCAATCTCTGGGTCTGGAAGACTCCCTGAAGCGGGGCATGGCAACCCACTCCAATATTCTTTCTTGGAGAATCTCAAGGACAGAGGAGCCTGGCGGGCTTGTATAAGTTGGACTTCCCAAGCGGTACTAGTGGTAAAGAACATGCTTGCCAAAGCAGGAGAAACCCTTTCATCATGTTTGAAAAAAAAAAAAAAATGATCTAGGCAGTTAAATTGCCAGTCAAATCTGTAAATGTGTTTCTAAAACATCATTAGTATATAAACCTATTGAAAATATAATTTTTCACCAATTTATGGGCTATTATATAAAATATCATATGTGGAAATCATTTGGACAATATTAGGTAAAATAACATTTTATATTAATACTTAAAGAACAGTCTATGATTATGTCTACTTTCTTACATGTTAATTTTCACTTTGGATGGGCAAAAAGAACCAAATAATCACTGTGCAGTCTTGGACTTCATCATAAACCAAGTTATTTGGTGGTAAATAAGAAAAGTACCCTGTTTGAAGTAACTCAAAATTTCAAAATTCTTTCTGAGTGTCTAAAGACTTAATGGCCCTATAATAGCACTATTTGTTGGATGGTGAACATCAAATTAAGAGATGGCTAAAGATATAGAATAGCCTTTTAATAATTTACTTAATGTTTTATAGTTCCCTTATCCTACCTAGACTCCATCTGCATCTGCCAATGAGTAATATGCACTACTGACTTTGAAAAATATATAGTTTTATACTAAATGATGCATTTATATTTAGATACAATACAATTAATTTATCCTCAGGGATTAAAGTTGTGAGTGAGTGTGTGAGTCTTTGTTTTTGTTTTTGCTTTTAATTTTCTCACTGAAGCATTTTTATTCACTTTCTCTTTTCCTTTGAGGAAAGTGTATTCAGCTTCACAGACATTTTTCATAAATACCTGGGATAAAAACAGATGTCAAATAAGGCCTGAGTAAAGGTAATCTTTTTCCTTTTTTCTTAATTGAGACAGCTTATTTAAAGAAATTCTCATTCTGGAGTCAATGCCAATTTTAGTGAAATTTCTTATGTAGAACAACATAACTGATGGTCAGATTTCAAGCCATAAAAGCAAGTCACTATAGATCATAACAACAAATAACTTGGTATTCTGCTTTATTATGTCACAATTTTGAGGGACATCTTGAAAAATGTAATGTCTGTGCATAAGAAATACTTCTCACATTGTATTTGAACCTATCGATGAAATTTTTCTTCACTTTTTCCTCTGAAGACTAGGTTATTTCTTCATTATATTAATTACTGTATTTTTTTTTTTACTCCCTATGTTTTACTGAACTATCCACACAGATGAAAATTACCAACCCAACTGGCTATATCAATAATAGTTGTCTGGTTGTTTGCTACTGTTTTTCTTTTGCATAATATCAAGAGTCTTATGACTATGTGGTATCAGTATTTGGAATCTGACTCAGAAAGCAGCCTGTTCAACACTGAGCTTCTTTCTGTACTTTCTGGGTGGTCTTAGATTGTCAAATTCAAAAAATAAAATAAAAGTAAAGTAAAATCAATCTTACACATTGTTTATTTAAAAACAGAACACCTTAAAGATTTCTCTTTTAGAGAAATTTGGTAACATGCTAAGACTAGATCAGAACATTCGCAAAAATTTAGATCTCTTTATAGTAGTTCTAGTTCCCTTACTCTCTATCTGTATATATTAGTTGATCTCTTTGAGATTCACATTCATATTTTGAAATCAAAGAAAGCTACCCTTTGAAAGTTGTTATAATGATCAAAACATGACATATGTAAAACACTCAACACATTTTGTATAGATGTGTAGAAGATTACTTATTCACTTAGGATTGAAATCTTTATTTTATCTTTAGTACTTGGAAATCAGAACTATGCAAGACCATGGAATGACTTTAAATATGTGCTGAATTTTTTATAGATAAATAGGCAGACCTATACAGATACAAACTCTTTATTCTTTTAATTAAATTGTACTTAGAAAATTTCAAAAAGTTTAAATACAGTTTTCTTAAAATACTGCAAGCATAGAGTACTTCTTCAGAAGTACTTATAAAACTGTCTTAAGAAATTTTGCACTAAAGTTGTGATAGTGACAACATTCTGTGGTAAAGACAGAATTAAATGTAGTCAAAACTTTATACATAAAATATATTTGATATTTCTAAGGAAGAAAAAGAAAGTGATACATTGTAAAATAAGTGTGGACCTAAAGATATTTGTAAACTCTACCCAAGGAAATGAATTGGGATGGACAAGAATGGAGATATGGAACAATAGGACCACTGGAACTGACTTTGTTCTCCTGGGGCTATTTCACTGCATCCTGGTCCCCAAGCTACTTTTTACTTTCATCTTTCTAGTTTTTCTTGTGGCCCTTATTGTCAATATTATGATGGTGATACTCATTTGGTTGAACTCTCACCTCCATACTCCTATGTACTTTCTTCTCAGTCAACTTTCCTTGATGGACCTCTTGTATATCTCAACTTTTGTCCCCAAAATAGCCATTGACTTTTTGTCTGGACAAAACAACATTTCCTATACTAATTGTGGAATCCAACTCTTCCTCTTCATGACTCTGGTGGGAGCAGAGTGCCTTCTCCTGGCAGTCATGGCTTACGACCGCTACGTGGCTATTTGCCATCCACTTCACTACTCAATTCTCATGAGCCCTACAGTTTGCATTTTCATGGTGGCTGGCACTTGGCTGGGTGCACTTATCAATGCCTCTGTCCATGTTGTCTATGTTCTGAATCTTCCTTATTGTGGCTCCAGAGAAATCCATCATTTCTTTTGTGAGATCCCAGCTCTCCTGAAACTTGTTTGTGCTGACACTTCTCTTTATGAAAATGGTCTTTTTATCAGTGGTATTATATTTCTCCTCTTTCCAATATCTGCCATCATGGCCTCATATGGGCAAATTCTCTCCACTGTTTTAAGATTAGGATTAAACATGGGGATGAGGAAGACTTTGTCAACTTGTTCTTCCCATATGATTGTGGTGATTCTCTTCTATGGAACTGCCATCATCATATATTTTCTCCCCAAAGCCTATCACACTGCTGAACAGGACAAAGTGGTCTCTATCTTCTACACCATCCTCACGCCCTTGCTCAATCCCCTCATCTACAGCCTGAGAAACAAAGAGATGTCTGGAGCCCTCAGGAAAGTATTGAGAAGAAAAATAACCAAATAAGTTGATATCTACTGAGAATAGGAGAAGAAAGAATTGACCTTAGTTACAGAAGGATTTTACAGTAACAGAGATGAGAAATATATCGTCAACAAATGGTACTTTTCTGTAGACATCTCATGGCCAAACCACTTCACCTTATCTTTAGTGGACTGCTAATGAAACATAGCATGCCTTCCTTCTATTCTTCATAAGATCCTCACAGATTTATTAACAAAAATGCAATGTCAGCAATTTGCCAGTCAGCAATTAATATAAAAAATAACTGTCTTTTTAAAAAAAATTAGACAAGATAAAATGTGAATCCTAAGTAATATTGATTCTCTACTACATTTCAAATTAATTTTCCCTAAACCACTGAGTTGTAACAATATTTAAGTCAATATTTATAATACATTGGTCAGAACTTTGTTTTTTCAATTCTTACTATAACATATTTAATTCTGAACATATGATTCAAGTGTGGCTCACAAACACAAGATTTTCTTCTTATTCTCACCATTTTATACTGGAACTGGTGTGTGTTTGTTTTACTAATTGTTATAATCACAATAGTTTAGCTTTGATAATATTTAACTAATTAACTATAGTAATTTGTCTTAATTAATGGTACCAGTCTACTTAACTATTTTTTTAATTTGTCATAGCATTTCTTTTCAATTTATAGATTTATTTTTATTAAGGGTCCCACTTTGTGTAAAATATTTTTTTTCTTGATAAATTTTCACAGGTGAAAATAATGAATTCAAGGAAATAATTATTTTTTTATGTTTCTGTTCTTATCAAATTGATGAGTTATGTACATTTATAACATAACAAATAAATGCATGTATGTATATGTGTAGTTTATACAACCCAAATAATAATTTTAGTGTATATGATTTTACACTTTTTATTTTATTAAATTAGTAAATGATAGAGACCTTATTATAATTGAAAGATATATTTATTCATTTAGCTTTAATTGATTTGGAAACTTTCCTTGTGTGTGTGCTATGTAAACATTTTTATTTTGGATTTTATCATACTATACTTACCCATTTATTATTTCTGATCTTTATATATTTTTACATATTTGGCTTATTTACATATTTAAATTCATGACCTTTTACAATTTATTAAAAAATAGCCCATCCATTAATTCTCTTATAGCTCTATGCTGTGGCCATAAATTACATATTTGAATTTATAAAACTTTCATTGAGTAATTTTATTATTAAAAAATATTATTACTCTACATAATTTATTTTGTACTTTCATTTATCTTTTCACTGGTTGTTGCCTTTTAAATGTAAATTAGAATTACATAAGCTAGATTAAAAATATTTTACCCTTGTGTCTATATAAGACCTGCAGCTGTATAGTCCTGCAGTCCTAAAAAGCTATAACACTAAAAAAGTGAACTAGACAACTATGTCATACCATACATAAAAATCAACTAAAAATGGATTAAAAACTTGAATATGACCTAATTTTTAATTTCTTTAACCTAATATACATTGAAAAAAATAGTATATCTATTCTGTCTTATTTTCTTTACTTAACATTTTGCTTGTCAGATTTTTTCCAAAGTTTTAATTTTAATTTATTTTGACCTTTATATTTTATTAAATTAGTAAATGATAGAGACCTTATTATAATTGAAAGATATATTTATTCATTTAGCTTTAATTGATTTGGAAACTTTCCTTGTGTGTGTGCTATGTAAACATTTTTATTTTGGATTTTATCATACTATACTTACCCATTTATTATTTCTGATCTTTATATATTTTTACATATTTGGCTTATTTACATATTTAAATTCATGACCTTTTACAATTTATTAAAAAATAGCCCATCCATTAATTCTCTTATAGCTCTATGCTGTGGCCATAAATTACATATTTGAATTTATAAAACTTTCATTGAGTAATTTTATTATTAAAAAATATTATTACTCTACATAATTTATTTTGTACTTTCATTTATCTTTTCACTGGTTGTTGCCTTTTAAATGTAAATTAGAATTACATAAGCTAGATTAAAAATATTTCACCCTTGTGTCTGTATAAGACCTGCAGCTGTATAGTCCTGCAGTCCTAAAAAGCTATAACACTAAAAAAGAGAACTAGACAACTATGTCATACCATACATAAAAATCAACTAAAAATGGATTAAAAACTTGAATATGACCTAATTTTTAATTTCTCTAACCTAATATACATTGAAAAAATAGTATATCTATTCTGTCTTATTTTCTTTACTTAACATTTTGCTTGTCAGATTTTTTCCAAAGTTTTAATTTTAATTTATTTTGACCTTTATGAACTTTTATAACATCAATATGCATAAATTATTTAACATTCAAATGTACTATACATTGGAGCATTTTATCTTCTTCACTATTATAAACAACTACACTATCAATACTTGTATACATATATCTTAGTAAAAATAAACACCATTTAAAAAAATATGTCTGTGAGTAGACTTGCTAGGGAGAAGTTATGCACATTTTAAAATTAATAATGTGTATTAGATTACCAGGGTCATCATAAGAAATCAAAACCAACTTTGATGTATTAAAACAATAGAAATTTACTTTCTCACAATTCTGTAGTCCAGACATTTAAGTTTTTGAGTGGTCCAGGCTCCCTGTGAATGCTCAAGTGTCAATCTTTCTTAGATGCTTTCGCTTCTGATTGTTTCTCACATTCCTTGGCTTGTGTGGCATAACTTTGATCTGTCTTTTTCTTCACTTGGTTTTCTTTCTTTTGTATAGTTTAATGTGTCCTTTTCTCTTATAAAAACATTACTCATTTGATTTTGAATCCACCCTAAATTCTCGATGATTTCATCTTGAGATCCCAAACCAAGTACAAATGCCAAGCTCTTTTTCCAAAGGCCACATTCACATGTTCCAAAAGAACATGAATTTTGGGGTGCCATCTTTCAACTCACTACAATAGATAATGCCAAAGTGTTTTCTAAATAATTTTACTAGTTCAACTCTTTCAAGCATGAATTCCTTTAATTTCACAACCTTAAAAAATGCATGAATTTCAAAACAATATATTTATGTGCATATGATGAGTGTATCTGTATGGTCTTGTTGCTATTTATTTGCCTATTTTTGATTACCAGTGAAGTTGTGTGATTCCTCACATATTTACTGTCCATTTTTACTTCATTCTTTCAGAAGTTGCATTTAAACAGTTTGCCTATTAAAAAAACAATAGTGAATTAGACATTTTGTTGCTAATTTTAATAGTTCTTTATAGAATATGGACAAAAATCATTTCCAATTATTCATGCTACAACTATATTACCCTTCCTTGATATGAGTTCTCACACTCTTAATGCTGATATTTATTAAAAATTAACATTATTGTGGTAATAGTTATAAGTAATTTCCTTCAAAATTAATGTTTGTATATGTTGCCAAATAAATTATTTCACATCCTTCAATCAAAAAGTTATTCTTCCATATCTTTTCCAAGACACATATGTGCATGTTAAGCTATTTCAGTCATATTTGACTCTTTGTGACTCTATGGACTGTAGCCTATCAGGCTCTTCTGTTCATGAGATTCTCCAAGCAAGAATTCTAGAGTGAGTTTCCTTGCCTTCCCCCATGGGATCTTCCCAACCTAGGGACTGAACTCACATCTCTTATGTCTCCTGCACTGGCAGGCAGGTGGACTCTTTACCACTACTACCACCTGGGGTAAGCCCCATTCTATGTGTGTGTGTGTATATATATATATATATATACACACATGCATACATGCCACATATGTATATGTATTTACATATATGTATATATAGTGTGTATATATGGTATGTATTTATATGTGTGTGTATACACACACACACATATATACACAATGGAATACTCCTTAGCTATAAAAAAGAATGGAATAGTATCATTTGCAGCAATATGAATGGATATAGAGATTATCAGTGAAGTAATTCTGATAAAGACAAATATTATAGGATAACATTTATATGTGGAGCCTAAAAAAAAACAATAAAAAATAGATTTATTTAAAAGAAAAACAGACTTACAGACATTGAAAGCAATCTTATGGTTACCAAAGATGGAAGAGGTACAAATTAGGGGTATGGGATTAACAGACACACTTGACTATAAACAAAGTAGTCATGTATAATCTTTATAAAAAACAATGTTATACTATGTAGCATAGAAAACTTTATTCAATAACATATAATAATCTATAATGAAAAAATTGGGAAAAAATGTTTTTTATTATTACACAATACTGTACTTCAATAAAAAAAGAGGTCACTATTTCAAGAAGATATAACAATAGTAAACATATATTCACTCAACATGAAAACACCTAAGTAACCTAAATATATTAAGCAAATACTATAAGATCTGAAGATAAAAATAAACAAGTGCATAGTAATAATAAGGGGCCTTCAATAATCTATTAACAACAATGGATATCTTATCCACAGAAAATCAGCCAAGGAATGTTGTAACTGGACACATTAGAGCAAATGGACTTAACAGACATATATAGAATAGTCCATCTAACAGTGTCAGAATACACATTCTTCTCAAGAGCACACAGAATATTCTCTAGAATAAATCATATGAATAGACACAAAATAAATCTTAGCAAATTTAAGAAGATTGGATTTATACCAACTATCTTTTCTGACCACAGTGGTAGGAAACTTAAAATTAACAACAAAAGGAAAATTGGAAAATTTGCAAATATGTAGAAGCTAAACACACTTCTGATAGGCAATGGAACAAAAAAGAAATCAAAAGGGAATTTTAAAATTCTCAAATAAATAAAATATAATTATAACATATCAGAACTTATGGAATGCAGCAAAAGCATCTCTGAGGAGATATTTTAGAGTAATAAATGCATAACATTAAGAAATTAGGAATATATCAAATATACAATCTAACTTTTCAC